TTTTTTTTTTTTTTTTTTTTTCGTCAGTCACAGAATTAAAAGAAATTGCTCTATGATTTTATTTTCCTTGTAATTGTCATACCGTAATAAAATTGGCTTTTGAAATCGAAAACCTAGATGGATGCATTGAATGCAAAACAATTTATTTTCTATTAAATAATTGATAAAACAATTGATCGATAATTGACAAAAACACTTGAATTTATCGATAATTAATTAATTGATTGAATTATATATAAATAATGCGTAAGAAACTTAAAAAGTGTGTAGTTTTATTTAAAAACTTATTAACATGATGTTCGCCGGACGTTTCAAGGTTCATCTCAAGATCAAAAGAATGACAACATAACATTTAATCCTTAATACTTCATAACTTTCGTTTAAAACATTTTTTCGTGTCATTGATATTTAGATGTTCTTCTCGATTAATTTCTTCAAGGATAATGTCACACATCTGTTTTTAACATCAAAATTATTCCAAACGAGAAGAACAAAATTAAGAACAATACGCTATAGAATTTCAATTCAACAACGAAGACTTTGGAAAAACTTGCTTATCGATGTAAAACAGCACATAATTGAATCATTCTTCCTTCGCTTCAAGAAATTCGACCCTGAAGAGTTTAATACAAACACACCGTACAGAGCAATAAATTCTCAAGCATCAAGTGTTGAAGGTGAATTGAACATTAACGAGAGCCATTGTATTTTAACCCCTTGGCAATTGGTTCGCGGACCATAACGAGTGACCAAACCGTATACAATAATACTAAGAAGCATTGATACTTTTCACTACTACTGTTAATACTGAGAAATTACTAAGACGTAATGAATTTCTTACTTGCTTTGCCTCGGTTATATTCAAATGTACTTGAAACTGAGAAAACATGGCAATTTTGGGACCAGAAATTCACGTCATTCCAGCGTAAGAGGTTAACTCGAAAAACCGAGGGAACTGCAATTCTTTCGAATGTTCACTCTCTTCAATCTCGAACGACGTTAATGTTCGAGGGCACAACAACGTTGCAAAGCCAATCTTCTCAACGATGCTATTGGATTATTCGGCATAAGGTGATTAGATAGTTTCGCAACATTTGGTAAAATTTCCAGAAGCACTGTCGAGAACGGTTAAATCGATCGCGATTATTTGCTCGCAAAACTTTTCCCCACCATTCCTCTCTCTCTCTCTCTCTCTCTCTCTGTGCAATCTTATTAATAGCATATCTATGTCGAGTAAGTGCAAGTGCACCCACGATCGCGAGAGAGAGAGAGAGAGAGAGAGAGAGAACTCGGCCGAGGAGAAATGCGTTATGTTACTTCCTGCGTGCCATTTGACTGCGAGGGTCATTTTTCTCTGCGAGCGTTCCTTTTAGAAAGTTCATGACCGAAGATCGATCCTCCTGAACAATACGATTCGATTAGCAGCAATAAGTACACGAACGTTATCTTACAATCATACGGATTATCAATCCGCTGATGATGCACGTCCTTTTGTTCTGTTAATTTTCTCTCAAACTGGATCAAACTGGAGCACTATCTTTCTAACACTAGAAAAGACTACCAAAGCGGTCAAACTGTTCACATTTATAATTTTCCCCTGGAAATTTTATATATTTATAACATGGTGATTTTTCAAATAGAAGTTTGTGCTCTTTATCGCGTTATTAACTTTCTTCCCGCACCTTGCCACTTTAATCTCTCCGCTACGAATATATATTCTATCGTACTTTAGTCGTCGATAGTTCTAAGTGTTAACACGTTCGAGACAGAGCCGAACGTGTATTTTTTATATCAATAAAAATCAAGCTTATCAGGCTCGACACGCTATCGACCGAATACTGCAGGCGTCGGTCCCCACGGACCGACATCGGCCGAACGAATAGCGAAATGTCGGTCCGCACGGACCGACACCGCTTCGGACGTGTTAAAGAATCAGCAAATGAAAGGACGATATTCATCGTAGAATACTCGACGGACGATAAAAAAGTTTGATCTGATTGTGTTTAGATGTGCCAGCATGTCCGAGGTCGGCGCGGCAGAAGCAGCGAACCAGGAGATCGACAGGCAAGCGTCGGTTTACGTGTTCCCAGGAACGGGTCGTCAGCATTATCCCGGTTCGGCGTCGACGACCCCTGTCCCCGTGGTCCCCATCGATGCCGCGGCTCCGATTTCAACGAGCACCACCTCGTCGGCGAGCGTGTTCGCGAAGGGGAAGCTCGAGAAGGAAAACGTCGACGAGGAAATGGCGGCACGGGTCGGCAGGCGAAGACCACCGTGCACGAAGACCCATGCCAGATCGGCCAGCCACGGCGGAGTGTTGGCGGAATGCCTGACGAACACCGCCGGTTTCCAGCCGCACGCAGGCTCCTATCTGGGCCCTCTGTCGGCGATCAGTGGTTCGAGGCCCTCGGCCTTGAAGAAGCCTGGTCACCAGAGAGCGTTCAGCCAGGGTCAAGTGATGGACGTTCAAGGACACTCGGTCATCGGGCACAGCCGTGTCGGGTCCAGAACCGATTTCATTCTTCCGCCTGGCCACAGGGAGGACTCGAGGCCACCCACAGCTGGAAAAGTGCCCTCCTTTCGAGGCCACTCGCGGCAAGCGTCCAGGTAACCCATCCAGATTTACCAAATTTTTTTTTTTTTACACTCTATATCGTGCCTCCGCAGGTGATTATGAAAGTGGCCTGAGTCATGTGTTTCTCGCTCACGAGGTATTTAAAGGTTTCCGTTTGAATGAATGCGTGGAACAAAAGTCTTCAGGAAATATTCGATCTTGTAAGATAAGAGTTTTTGCAGAATATACCCACATCAAGGAGGGTGAAACTGCCTTAATAAAAAAAAAGAAAAAGATAAGAAGGAAATATGATTGTTGAAACTTGAAATTGACCATTTTCAAAATTAATTAAACTGACTTTTCACAACAGTGAAAAAAAAAAACTACGGAGTTTATCAAAAAAATTGAGATCCAATCTGTTAATTCGTAATTATGTTTCTAGGTAATTAATTTTCATCATTTCTGATTTTCTTCTCATCCTTCGAGCCTTGAGCGATTTGAAATATTTCTGGATAAATTGGTGGGTTGGATTAATATCTTTATATTTTTCTTCTGTTATTGCTCTAGTGGTGATGTATAATGGAACTAGATGGATATTTTCGTATAGTTTTGGCCTGCTTCTTTTGGGTGAAAGATCTAAAACATGAAATTCAACATCATCTAAAGAAACATCTTATGTATGTATATATATGTATATGAGACATTTTTTAAAAATCTCATCCATTGTATTTTCAACCAAGAGGCAGATTCTCCCCTAGTATTTTTTTGCTCTTCTTGTTACTGAGTTGTCCAGCCGTTTTGTAACAAATCCTTCTGAAATGAATTCTGTTTTCTACATAGTTCTATTAGTTCATGATAATGTTCAGAAACGTGTAAGTAATTCGCTTTTTTTTATTCTCATTTCTGTCGAGCCAAAGTCACGATCATTCGGCAAAAACTGAATGGCCAGATACCAAAAATTCATAATAATTCACGAGAGTGCAACTATCATAATTAGAGCATTGACTGAACGACGCAACAGCCAACTCAATTGAAATTAGAATTCTTAAAGACTACACGAGATTATTTTATTTTAAAAAAATGTAACGCGAAATAACTGATAAACTCATTTCTTTTTAAATTCTCG